CGCCGCCTCGCCTGGGCCCCGGCGCCGTCTGCACCTGCGGGAATCGACCCGGGGACTGGAGCGCCCCTCCTTGCGTTGCGCACCAGAGCACTCCTGGGCCTGGGACCAAACCTGTGTGTGACACCCCTCCACACCCTACCTCTCACCCCCCCAACCACACCTCTGTGCGCCTCAGTTTCCCCATGAGCGAAAGGGGGCGCAAATACACGTCACGACATAGATGAATATTCATAATAATTTTGCTAAGGGAAAGAAGCCAGACAAAAAAGAAAAGACTACTCTCTAGTCCCATTTATATCAAACTCTAGGAAGTGCAATCTGACACCGTTAGTGGTCGCCTGGGGGTGGGGAGGGGTGGGGAGAGGCGCGAGAGAGGAATTTTAGAAGGGCCACAGGGTACTTTATAGGGTCGAGGGTATGTTTAGTATCTGGATTGTGGTGAAAGTTTCCAGGGTGTGAAAACTCATCGGAGCGTACACTTTAAATTTGTGTGGGTTGTTGTATATCAATTATACCTTAATAGAGCTGTAAAAAAATTTCTATGCATCTAACTCAGAGGAATGTTAGAAGGAGGAGCTGAGTTCCTCAGTATTTAGCTCTTAGCAGGGCCTTGAAGGTACAGTTAGGGCCCTGCCTCAACCTGAAAGGCGAGATGACAGTGTAGTGACCCTGTGAACCACAGAGAGGGTGGCCTCTAGTGGCCAGCCCCGGGGCACTGTCCCCAGCCGGTTTAAGAAAGCCAGAAGAGGATTTGGATGAGGATTTGGACTGTGAAGGAGAAGGAAAGGACAATCACCTTCCTGACTTTCCCTTTGCTCTTGCTTCACTCTCTTCCCTTCAGTCACACCTGCCTCCTTTCTCAAACTCAAGAGGTACTATCCCACCTCAGGATCTTTGCACTTGCTGTTTTCGCTCTTCCCTGAGATAGCTGCACTGCTCCCCCTGAACCTCCTTCAGGACTTTATTCAAATGTCACCCCTGAAGGGTGACCGCCCTTAAAATTCCTCCGCGCCCACCACTGGGCTCCTTACCTCCTTCCCTGCTATAATTTTTTCCCGCGCAATTACCACAACCTTGATTAAGTCAGCTCAGGCTGCTGTATGTAACAAACACCAAAGACTGGGTGGCTTAAACAACAGACATTTATTTCTCACAGTTCTGGAAGGTAGACGTTCAAGATCAGGGTGTCAGTAGAGCCGGGATGTTGGTGAAGGCCTCTTCCTAGTTATGTCCTCACACGGCCTCTCCTAGCAGAGAGAGAGAGAGAGAGAGAGAGAGAGAGAGAGAGAGAGAGAGAGAGAGAGA